CCCAGGCAGCCTCCACCAGCACCCATGTGACAGCAAAGGAATCCAGGGTCAGTGCTTTATCTGAGATGCAGAATGCCCTGCTGCCCACGCAGCCAGCAACCAACTGTGCTCTGCCTCGCGGCTTACCTGAACTGAGCACCGGCTGCATGCTGGCTGGTCTACACCCATTACCTCACTTAATGGTGTCTCGTCTGGACAGCTCACCAGCCTCGCTGGAGTAACCAAGGAATTGAGGCCTCTCCTTTCTTCCATTCCTTAGAGCAGTGATGGCGAACCTTTTGAGCTCGGCCTGTCAGCATTCTGAAAAACCCTCACTTAACTCTGGTGCTATGTCACAAAAAGAAACTTTTTGATATTTGCAACCATAGTAAAAAAAAAAAAAAGATTTATATTTATGATATTTATTTTATATATTTAAATGCAATTTAACAAAGAAAATTCAACCAAAAAAATGAGTTCGCGTGTCACCTTTGACACGCATGCCATAGGTTCACCATCACGGCCTTAAAGTCTAATGCAGGGGTGAGCACGCACATGGTGCATATGACTAATTACTGACTGACCCTGGATTGACTTGGTTCTGGGATTCCGCTGAAGGAGGGCTGTAGAGTCACTCATGTCCTTGCTTATAATCCAGGAGACAGTCATGTGGAGAAGCAGGCGGTGGGAAGGGGAGAAACCTGGGAAGGGCCTGTTGGAACTTTGAGCTGTGACCTCCCCAACCACAGCTCCTGAGCAAGCATTTCACTCCTTCTGGACCCTGTCATTACTGGGAGTAAGTCCTCTCTCTCTCTTTCCCACTTCTGCCCTCCTTGGCTTCCACCTGGCCACTCTGCTGTTTCTTTGGCCTCGAGGCTGCTTGTCCTGTGTGAAGGAATCATCCAGCCCAGAGCGAATAGCACTCGCAGTGGGAACTCTTCGAAGCCCAGTGAGGAAGCCCTGGAGACACCCATCTCATGTATGTGGAAACCGAGGCCCAGGCAGCCTCCACCAGCACCCATGTGACAGCAAAGGAATCCAGGGTCAGTGCTTTATCTGAGATGCAGAATGCCCTGCTGCCCACGCAGCCAGCAACCAACTGTGCTCTGCCTCGCGGCTTACCTGAACTGAGCACCGGCTGCATGCTGGCTGGTCTACACCCATTACCTCACTTAATGGTGTCTCGTCTGGACAGCTCACCAGCCTCGCTGGAGTAACCAAGGAATTGAGGCCTCTCCTTCCTTCCATTCCTCAGAGTCTAACGCAGGGGTGAGCATGCCTAATCACTGCCTGACCCTGGATTGACTTGATTCTGGGATTCCGCTGAAGGAGGGCCGTAGCATCACGCATGTCTTTGCTTATAATCCAGGAGAACGTCATGTGGAGAGGCAGGCAGTGGGAAGGGGAGAAACCTGGGAAGGGCCTGCTGAAACTCTGAGCTGTGACCTCCCCAACCACAGCTCCTGAGCAAGCATTTCACTCCTTCTGGACCCTGTCATTACTGGGAGTAAGTCCTCTCTCTCTCTTTCCCACTTCTGCCCTCCTTGGCTTCCACCTGGCCACTCTGCTGTTTCTTTGGCCTCTGAGGCTGCTTCTGAACCTTCATCTCCATCACTCATGCTCTCTCTGTGATTCTGAGGCCCACTACTCCTCCGTCCTCTTACCTGACCCTGTACATCTTCCGAGAGACAGTCCAGATTGCTCCACACTGAATGGTGCCCATTTTGGCTGCTTCTAACCACTGTTGTTTATGAAAGAAAACTCATAGCTTCCTATCTAAGCCCAGGTCCTCGAGAGCATTTAGCTTTGAAACATGCAGAAAGTCCCAGCAGTGATGCAACCAAATGATGAATCATTCCTTTTTTCCTGGGACTGAGAAGTCTTCCCATCATTGTCCTTGGCCAGTAGACCATTCATTTACTACTATTATTATTATTATTTTTGTCTTCCAATTCAACAGATGGCCTATATTGGTTAGTTTCTGCTGCCATAACAAAATACCACAGACTGGGTGGCTGAAACCAGCGGTTGCCAACCTTTCAGGCCTCACGGACCACCAGTGGTCCACGGGCCACCAGGTGGCACCCACTGGCTTACACAACAGAAATGTATTTTCTCACAGTTCTTGGAGGCTGGGAACAGACCTCATGGACCATCAGTGGTCCACGGACCACCGGTTGGCAACCCACTGGCTTACACAACAGAAATTTATTTTCTCACAGTTCTTGGAGGCTGGGAATCCGAGATCAAGGTGCTGACAAATTTGGTTTCTTCTGAAGCCTGTTTCCTGGCTTTCAGATGGCCATTTTCAAGCTGTGTCGTCACACACGACCCCTCCTCTTCTGTGTCCTAATCTGCTCTTCTTATATGGACACCAGTCATATTGGATCAGAATCCACCCATATGAACACATTTTACCTTAATTGCCTCTTTAGAGGCTCTATCTCCAAACATAGTCACATTCTGAGGAACTAGGGTTGGGACTTCCACATATGGATTTGGGGAGACACAGTTCAGCCAATAACATGGCCTAGGAAGGAGATAATTAGCAGCAGCATGTCCCAACAACATGGTTACCTGCAGGCAAAGGGAAGACACCAGTCATATTGGATCAGAATCCACCCATACGACCTCATTTTACCTTAATTGCCTCTTTAGAGGCTCCATCTCCAAACACAGTCACATTCTGAGGAACTGGGGTTGGGACTTCCACATATGGATTTGGGGGATACAGTTCAGCCAATAACATGGCTTAAGAAGGAGACAATTAGCAGAGGCATATCCCAACAACACGGTTACCTGCAGGCAAAGGGACCAAACAAGGAAAACAGAATCCAGTTGGGGAAACCGAGTCCCAGGCCTGACTCTGCCCTGAGCTCTTTTTGTGACACTGGGCAAAGTCCCTTCACCTCCCGATTTCCCCATTTGTCACATGAGCCTGATCTTTCCCTCCTGCCCCAGGGCTGCTCTGCTTATCCTATCATCTGTGGCTCTAAAAGATCTCTGAGGAGCTGAAAGCACTGGGCCATTCTATGGGAGAACAGATTTGACAGTGATACAGCTGATAAAGGGTTAATACCCAAAATGTATAAGGAAATCATAAAACTTAAAAAAGGAAGACAAATAATCCCATTAAAAAATGGGCAAAGGATCTAAATAGACACATCTCCAAAGTGAACAAACAGATGGCCAAGAGACATGAAAAC